CAGGCAAGTCAGAGTCGAGTCTCAAGTCACTGGTGTAAAAGTCCGAGTAAAGTCACAAGTCTGAAATTTTGAATTTCAAGTCGTTTCGAGTCTTTAAAAAAAACGAAAAAATAATGTTGCAGTTATATGCTAAATGTAAATATTAGACCATGTAATTTTTAAATCTGTGTTTTTCTCAACACATGACGAAATAGTGAACGTAGAAAATATACACAAATTGTGAAATTGCACCTCTATAAAATGCAGCTCAATTAAACCTAGCTCCTAGAATAATTTTCACCGACGGTTCTGAGATAAGCTGCATGTTATTCTTGGATGCGGTTGTAGGACTGGCTTTAAAATCGCTTGACAAAAATATCATATACATTAAAAAAACTGCATCACCAACGTAGCCTGGACAACATTTGCTAGTTAGATGAAGTCAGCTATCTCATCGTAGCATATTTATATGCATATTTATAATCATACGGTTCTTGGAGTGAGTGCATACACTCATGAAGTTTAGTAACTTCAGGTCACTGCAACAAGCCCAGGTACAGTTTACCGACAGATGGGTACAGGACCTTGAAATGCACAGTGTAGAACGAAAGACCATCGTACCTATCATAAGTTTACCAGTCTCACAAATCGTCGTCATAAATACACATTCATTAACCGTTTATTAATATAACCTTTGAGCTCAATGGTAATTAATTAGTAGTGGAAATAATTTCTGGTTCGCATTACTGAAATGTAGCAGTGACAATAATATTGTATGCTGTAATCGCACTGGGCAATTGGTGATACAAAAACCTGTTTTACCCTGTGAATAAAAGTATATGTTTTTGTCAATGTACCATGGTAATAACAGAAGCGAAACACAATATTGTGTCAGGACAATTCACTATTTATGCACAATAAATAAAGGAGCATAGCGTGACAATTTCTGTTCAGCGCCAGACTTGCTTGTAACCTATATCACCAATTATGTTAAGAAAAATGACGTATTAACTACTACAAAACTCTGACCTTTGTGGGAATGCTTGGAGCAGACTAACCTGTGAGCTGGAGTGTTCTGGGACGTTATATTTTGTCTTTGAATGGCTGCAATCCAGGCCATCCGTCGCCTCTTTGTTACTTCGGAAACATGGCTCGAACAATTTCTCTTCAACGACGTAATCCGATAACAACCGATCTCTTTACCCGTCGGCTTCCCGTGGCTGTCATGCGACCGGCTATTGCAGTTAATAATACAACAGCTTCTTGACATTTTTGTGTTTCTTTTTATCGCTGTGTGACTGATTTCAATTGAAAGCCTGCGTGCGCTAATACCTCTTGCCACGAGTTCCCAGAATCCTTTGTGGTTTTACCCCTGAATGACGTCACATTTTCAATCTCTATATAATATGCATGTTAAATTTTATATTTGGGGTGAAATATCAAGTCTTTTCAAGTAAACCGGTTCAAGTCCAATTCAAGTCCCAGGTCATTGGTGTAAAAGTCCAAGTCAAGTCACAAATCTTAGAAAATTTTTTCAAGTCAAGTCTAAAGTCATAAAATTAATGACTCGAGTCTGACTCGAGTCCAAGTCATGTGACTCGAGTCCACACCTCTGCAATATAGCATGTCCTTACTGCGGGGTTTTGGAAACAAATTAAAACGTACACCTCTGTTATCACTTCCAACATAAATGAAGACAGAAAACTAAACAGCAGTGACGTTTGTAGGGTTACTGAAGTTGGGCTAGCTGGTATATAATGATGTGCTACGTGACCGCTAGCGACACAGCTATGTTAGCATAATATAAACAGGCTAACTTTTTTTCCACTCGATAACAGTTAACGTGAGTGTTCTCGGTGGTCAGGAACAAATGTAATCGCATGGCAGGAGGCTGTAAAACATAGGTGCCAAACTCTGGCCCGCAGCCTAATTACATTTGGCCCAAGAAGCCATACCAAATTACTATTGGAGCTGGCCTACTGGTATTATAGAGCTAATATATATATTGTTTAGTATTAAGCTTTGCTTGTTCCATATTCAGTTTTTCAGCAAAACTTGTTTGAGTCCATAAGAAAAGATTCATTCTTATATCTAGAGGAAGATTTTTTTTTCAGTAAATATTAACGTTAGCCCGCGACTTTGTTCCAGTTTTGAATTTTGGCCCACTGTGTATTTGAGTTTGACAACCCTGCTGTAAAAGGACCAAACTTCAGCCAGGAGAACAACTGAGATAATCCATCCATAATACGAAGTTAGTCATTCATATACTGCTGCATGGGCTGGGCTGTAGTTACATCCTAAGGAGCTTTTTGAGATCAAATACAAGAAAATACATAGCATTAAACATGTTAACAACACAAAAGCCATATTAGGCCCGGAAGTAGGATTCGTCGCGTCATCACTGAACAACCGGATTAGGCTAATCGTTGCGTCACTTCTGGTATTTCAGACAATCCCTTTCCGTCAAGGATTTTTGATTTGCTGTCGGTTTTTGTAAATTGTTGTGGGTTTTTTTAATTTGTTGTGGGGTTTTGTAATTTGTTGTGGGGTTTTTTAATTTGTTGTGGGTTTTTGTAATTTGTTGTGGGTTTTTGTAATTTGTTGTGGGGTTTTTAATTTGTTGTGGTTTTTTAATTTGTTGCGATTTGCACTTCCCAGCCACCGTAGAATAACCTTAGGTAGCCAAGTTTAACTAGCAACAAAAACAAAATCTTAACCATTAGAAAAACCATAAAGAAATTCACATCAGTTCAACAGATATAATTAATTACAGCAACATTAATGAATGGTTTATTCAATCAGGATTTATAGTATATTATAGCACAGAAACAGCAATAGTAAAGGATATGAATGATAACTTATGGCCTCTGGCAGTGGAGTCATCTCTGTGGTTGTTCTACTAGACCAACGTTCAATACTGCTGACCACAGTATACTACAGAGTTTTATTACAGAGATTAAAACACCATTGGTACTGCACTGCAATGGTTTGTATCATATCAATCTAATCGATTCCAGTATATGCATGTAAATAGAGTCTTGCTCACACTCAACAGTTAGTCACAGGGTTCCACAGGGTTCAGTGGTGACATCGATGCATTTTATATTCTAAATGCTTCCCTTGGGCAATATAATTAGAAACCTGCACATATTTTTTATTGCAGGGTCATCAGATCCAGCTGTAAATATATGCTTTGTAAAATTAGAGAGGATGTTTGTCTCCCAAATTTACTAACTTATTCTGTTCACAATTCTTTTGTGAACAAAGTAAGTGACAATTTTTATTGCACAATTTTAAAGCATTTCTAGGTGGTGGGAGGCTTCCACTTGGCCAGTCTCTGAATATCCTCTCAGTTTTTCGTGGATGATGTGGTTCTGTTGGCTTCATCAGGTGGTGGACTCCAGCTCGTACTGGAGCGGTTCGCAGCCGAATGTGATGCGGCCGGAATGAGAATCAGCACCTCCAGGTCTGAGGCCAAGATCCTCACCAAAAAAGGGTGGTGTGCCCACTCTGGGTCAGGGATGAGCTACTGCCCCAAGTGGAGGAGTTTAAGTATCTTGGTGTCTTGTTCATGAGTGAGGGGAGACGAGAGCTGGTGCTGTGGCTGCAGTGATACAGACATAGTACCAGTCCATCGTGGTGAAGAGAGAGCTGAGCATAAAGGCAAAGCTCCTCTCCCAGTCAATTTACATCCCCAAGCTCATCTATGGTCACGAGCCTTGGGTAGTGACATGGATACAAGCAGCAGGAATTAGCTTTCTCCAAAGGGTGGCTGGCCTCTCTATTAGGGAGTCTGCCAGAGTAGAGCTCAAAGTACTCTAGAGCGGCTCTGCCACATCGAAAGGAGCCAATTGAGGAGGTTCGTGCATCTGACAAGGATGCTTCTGTTCCGGGTATGTCCCACCGGGATGAGGCCCCAGGGTAGAGCCAGGACACGCTGGTGAAATTATATCTCTTAGTTGGCCTGGGAAACCCTTGGTGTTACCCTGGACAAGCTGGAGGAGGTGGCTGGGGAGAGGGAGGTCTAGGTTTCTCTGCTTAGGCTGCTGCCCCCGTGACCCAGCTCCCGATAAGTGGAAGAAGATGGATGGATGGCTGGATGGTGTGTGTTGTCTGGCTTCTGCATAACAAAAAACAAAAAAAAGTAACTTTAGTGGTTGAATGTTATGGGTGATTAATTAATTTTCCAGTTCATTGTTTTCCCTAATAAATAACAATATTAGTTTTAGTTTTAAAAAAGGTTTAGATAGATTTCTAAAACATTTAAGTTTTCTTGTTTTACGAGAGGTGGTCAAATAAATTTGTTAAGCACTGTTACAATGAGAAATGCAGAATCAAGTCTAGTTATAAGGTGTTTAGTTAGAGAAGGCAAGGTTTCTATAGGAGAAATACAGAAATCTGCATTTAAGCTTCTGAAATGCTTTATTGTTGTGTGAGCACTTAATTTTTCCATGTTGGACGTAAAATGCATAATTATGTAACGTCTTTGAACTAGTTTGCTCATGATAGCACTCGAGGTCAATCTCTTTATCACTGAGCTGTTGCAAATTAATAGACCACAAAAAAACAATTCTAGGAGAAAATAAATTATATTGCTTATAAGGAAAGATGATTGTGCGTCACAGTAAGTTTCAAAAGTTTTTTTAAATTAAGTTTTTGCCTCAGTGCAGTGAGCAAAATACAATGATTTGTGATTTATTTTAATACAGTTGCAATTAGTGTCGGGTATCGTAATGTGTCAAGTGGAAACATGGTATCCATGGATCCAATCCAAAGATGAACATCAAAAGCTGAAATCTGCCACTTTGTTAAATTCCTTAAATATTTCACCTGCAAATATTTGATAACAGTATGATTCATGTGTAAATAAAGATGCATGTGACAAACTTGCTTCGCTATTCTCAATAGGTCCATCATCACACAACAGCAGGCACATGACCCAAAGTCAGAGTAACTAGAGCTCACACTCACCCAGCAGCAGTCCAGAAAGTTTTCAGAGCCAAAGAGGAGATTACAAAATAACTAAGCCATTCTCTTTCTGACTGCGATAGTCAGCATTCCTAGCGAAACTAGGGAAATGTTTTATTAATGTTGTCCCTTTTATTTCTGTGCTCAGTTAGAGATTTACTCCCACCTTGTGTGTTTTTGTATTTATGCGGAGTTTACAACACCTTGCCTGATTTTCCACAATGCATCTCACGACAGAAGAAACAATAGAGCTTGGACTCAATGACCAGGGGACAGACAATCCTGCATTTGGGGTAAGTGATGTGTTGTCTTTATCTGCTCTAAAGTTTCCACATTGATTTTCTTTCTTCTTTCGGCGCACCGGCTGATCTTGATTGATTTTTTTGGTGTCATAAGACTCCAACTCTGTCACAAAGACAAATGGAAAACATATAATAACACAGAGTCACTACTTAAGATTTTGACAATGTTGTATGTTTGCTTATATTAGCAGACTAGAGTTAAAAAAGAGCTACAGTGTGATATCCTTTCAATACAGCACTAAGAGCTAAATGTAAGCCACTCTGGAATGTGAAATCAACAAAGGGTGCATGTGTTGCCCAAAAGGAGGGATATGTAAGTAGAGCGGACTCCATGGCTGTTTGTGTATAAATGGGGAAAAAAAAGTTTAGACTGCATGTGGTGTTCAAGTGTACACAGCTGACTTTAAGGCTGATGTTTTCCTCTTCCTACCCATGGCAATTGACTGAAGAAAGAAAATTGGAACATAAACAAACTCCACTGCAGATGGGCAAGCACGTGAATCTGTCATCATCTGCAAAACTGGGCCTTGTTTATCATATTTAGCTAACCTTGTATTATATATCAAAGCCTCCTCCTTTGGGGAAAATCACATCTTCATTTCACGTCTCTCTTTTAAGTTAGTTTTATTAAAGTGCATTGTACACAACACGCATCTACAATTGTCAAAGTTTTGTTTTAGCCTTTTTGGAAGAAAGGTCTACTTATATTTTTCTCTTAAATTTTAACCTCTACAATAGTTATCTGGCAAAAACATGCTAAAAACAAGTGTTATAAGATTATTGTGTCCCTTGAGTCTGTAGGATTTATAATACATTTATGATCCTATGTGATATTTCATTTGAGCAACAAAGTCACTTTGAGAGAAGGAAAATCAACACACACACACACATGCACACACCCCCACACACCTTGGAAGAGCAAGAGATACACGACTAAAGTAATAACAGCTCGGACATCACCTGTCTCAACAAGGCCACTTTTCATCAGTATGTCCTCTTGTGGAACCAGGACATATTGATAAAAAGTGTACTGTGGCATCCAAACCCATGAGTAGTTATGAATTAACAGACGACCAATATCCACACTGACCGAGAAGTACCTGGCACCTGGTGCAATCAAAGCAAGAGATCCAGAGACTACAGCCAGCACAATGGGAACAATAGTGAGATGCATGGACACGATAAGCCAACTCTGGTAGAAAACAGCATTTTAACTGAGCATCTGCTGAGCTAAGGATAAAGCAACTGCCTCGTCTCAGGTATGAGATCAAGTAAATAAATGGTAAATGGCCTGCATTTGTATAGCGCTTTTCTAGTCCTTAAGGACCCCAAAGCGCTTTACACTACATTCAGTCATTCACCCATTCACACACACATTCACACACTGGCGATAGCAAGCTACATTGTAGCCACAGTTGCACTGGGGCGCACTGACAGAGGCGTTGTGCATCAAGGATGCAAGTAAAGAAAGCCCCTGTGGTGAAGAAGAATCAGGAAAGCTAATGTTAGTCGGTCAATTGAGACAATACTAGCACATTGCTGAAGAAGCTAACAGCAGTCCACGATCACTTGGCAAAACTTGATCACCTGACCATCAGGCAACTCCTGTACATAGCTTAACGGTTGAGGTTAAACGTTAAATAAACAATCAGCTTATCTATGAATAGCTCACTTGTCTCTTTAACTTCTTGTTTTATTGTCCTCTAAATCCAATTTTAATGTATTCCAAGAGCTCTGGAGCAAAAGTGGTGTGGCACTGTATTAAAATGACCCTTTTTTTGGCTGTTTAATGTGATCAAACAGTGTTGAGATTACTTTTAATGGGAGAATGAAAAATCTAACTCAGTATATCAAAATCATCCATCCATCCATCTTCTTCATCTTATCCGGGGCCAGGTCGTGGGGACAGCAAGTTAAGCAGAGAAGCCCAGACCTCCCTCTCCCCGGCCACCTCCTCCAGCTTATTTGGCACCAAGGTGTCCCCAGGCCAGCCAAATAAGAGATATGATCTCTTCAGTTTGTCCTAGGTCTGCCCTGGAACCTCCTCCAGGTGGGACATACCCAGAACACCTCACTCAAGAGAAGCTCAGGAGGCATCCTTATCAGATGCCTGAACCACCTCAACGGGCTCCTTCCGATGTGGAGGAGCAGCGGCTCTACTCTGAGCCCCTCCCAGATGGCTGAATTACCCTTGGGAGGAAGCCCATTTCCGCTGCTTGTATTCGCAATTTCTCCAATCCTGCTGTCTATCTCCCGCTCCCTTCTCCTGTCACTCGCGAACAAGACCCTGAGATACTTAAACTCCTCTACTTGCGCAGGAACTCAAACCTGACCCAGAGTGGGCACTCTACCCTCTCCGGGTGGAGGTTGGAGAGGATATCAAAACCCAGACATGGTTTTGTAGCATATTGTTTGCCTCAGTTTTGAAAGGATGTAGTGTATAGTCATTTTATTAAGTAGCATCTTACATAATAAACAAACCTAAAACCATTATCAAATAGACTTTTGGCAGTTAATATTGAGATGTCTGTAGAGTGAAAAGCATTTTAAACATTAAAGTGAGAAATCTGACTCAGTGACTCAAAACCCAGACAAATAAAAACAATGCAGCAACAGCTGAAGATTTGTTCAGCTGACCCTGACGTGAACAGCTTACCCACATCCAGTCATATGTATTTCTGTTATCTGTAGATGCTGGGTTACAGGAAGAGAGCCACTAGATGGAAGCAAATAATAACTGAAGCAAATGTCTGAAGATGCTTCTTGCTGGAGAGGAAATGTGGTACAGATGGGTTTGCAACTGAGTGGTTGAGACTGATGGAATGGTGACATTCACACAACAAGGTGTCAACTTTGTTTGACGAGATGAGTGCAGAGCAGTCAAAGGAGCTTGCAAAGAAAGGCGTCTGGACTTCTTTAAGTTGCTTGAAGACATTTCACCTCTCATCCGAGAAGCTTCTTCAGTTCTAAGGTCAAATGGTGGAGAGTCCTAGATTTAAACCCAGTGGGAGTAACCCCCCCAAAGAGGGACAAAAGGACCCCCTGATGATCCTCTAATCACATGAGTCAAGGTGTGAAAACGGGTGTGGGTCACAATCAGCCAGGGTTTCGGGTGAGCTCATTGTGAAACCTGGCCCCACCTTATCATGCGATTTCCTGAGGTGAGATGGCCCAGGATGTGAGTGGACGTTAAGGAGTCTGGGGAGGGAACTCAAAACTGGATTATAGATGGCAGAGAGTTGGTGTCGTAAACCACCGTCTCTGTTCAAAGATGGTCGCTCACAGTGGACATAGATGGCTTATTTCACTCCTCTTTCAAACCATCTGTCCTCTCTGTCCAACATGTGAACATTGGCATCCTCGAAAGAGTGACCTTTATCCTTTAGATCCAAAATGGACTGCTGAGTCTTGTCCTGTGGAGGTGGCTCTTCTATGTTGTGCCATGCGCTTGTGAAGTGGCTGTTTGGTCTCTCCAATGTAGAGGTCTGGGCATTCCTCGCTACACTGTACAGCATACAGCACATTGTTAAGTCTGTGTTTTGGAGTTTTGTCTTTCGGGTGAACCAGTTTTTGTCTGAGTGTGTTGCTGGGTCTGAAATGCACCGGGATGTCATGCTTGGAGAAAACTCTCCTAGGTTTTTCTGATACACCGGCTACATAGGGGATGACAATGTTGTTGCGTCTGTCCTTCTTATCCTCCCTCGCTGATGTCTGATCTTCTTTTCTGTGCCTCTTTGCTGACTTTATGAACGCCCAATTAGGATAACCGCATGTTTTGAGTGCTACATATGTGTGTTCCTTCTTTTTCCCTTTAGGCTTAGAGGGAACATGTTCTGCCCGGTGGTGTAGGGTCCTAATTACTCCAAGTTTGTGTTCCAGAGAGTGATGGGAGTCAAAGAGGAGGTACTGGTCCGTGTGTGTGGGCTTCCGGTAAACTTCGATGTTGAGGTTGCCATTCTCTTCAATGTGCACAGCGCAGTCCAGGAAAGGCAAACAGTCGTCCTTTGTGTCTTCCCTAGTGAACTTGATGTTTTTATCCAAGGCGTTAATGTTCGCAGTGAAAGATTCCACTTCTTGTGTCTTGATTTTGACCCAGGAGTCGTCTACATATCTGTACCAGTGGCTGGGTACTCTTCCTTTGAAAGAGCCTTCCTTTCCAATTCCTCCATGTAAAGGTTGGCTACAATAGGTGACACAGGGGAGCCCATGGCACAGCCACGTTTTTGTCTGTAGAAGCCTTCATTGTATTTGAAGTATGTTGTGGTAAGGCAGAGGTCTAACAGTGTGAAAATCTGATCGGGTGTGAAGTTGGTTCTGTCTTCTAAGGAGCTGTCTTTTTGTAGTCGTTTTCTGACAGTCTACACTGCCTCCGTGGTGGGTATGCAAGTGAAGAGAGAGACTACATCAAAGGACACCATGGTTTCATCTGGATTCAGGGTAAGTTTCTGGACCTTGTCGGTGAATTCGGTGGAGTTCTTGATGTGGTGTGGGGTGTTCCCCACGAGAGGTGCAAGGATGGTAGCAAGGTGTTTTGAAATGTTGTAAGTAGCTGAGTTTATGCTACTGACGTGGGACACCTTCCTTGTGGATTTTAGGAAGTCCGTAAAAGCAGGGTATGGCATCCCCTGGGTAAAGGTGGTGATATGTAAGGCAGTCAATGATTTTGTCCTTTTCAAGGTCTTGAAGGCAAGCTATAACTTTCTTTTTTCTTTTTCTTTTTTATTTGTAGCTGCTTGTGGGGTCTCGCTTTAAGGCTTCGTAGGTATTGTTGTCACTGAGGAGAGTAATGATCTTTGTGTGGTAATCTGTAGTGTTTAGGACCACAGTGTATCTTCCCTTATCAGCTGGTAAAATAGTGATGTTGTGGTCTTTGCTCAGGGAAGCGACGGCCTACTTTTCTTGTATTGTGAGGTTGGACGGAGGGACTTTGGCACTGGAGAGGGTGGCTGAGACTTTCATCCTGATTTGCTCTGCTTCTGTCGGTGATAATT